GCATTGAGCTAGGGAAATCACAAGAGTCAGCGTGTATTATTTGGTGAATAGCGGTTAGAACCACTTACCTACGCTTGTTTCGTATTCAGCTTAAAAACAAAAGTTGTTATTGCATCAGACCACGGCAAGCGCGTTTGGCTGCAAAACAAACTCAAGTCAGGCCTGTGCGAGACGAATAATCTGTGTAGATTGAACTGGACTCACAAGAGGAGCCAGGAAACGAGATTTGCTCTCCCAAAGTCGCGCCTGAGGATAGCATATGCTTTCTTGCTGCAAAGGTGTTCATCACTGGATGACCTCTGACATATAGTTTAAATGCTTCTCCTGACCATCGACCTATTGATTGAATGGTTTCGAATGGCAGTCCTGCCTGCGCCAGGGCTGTTGCTCCGCCTGATCTTAAGGAATGGCCTGAACGTGCTCCATTGAAGATTGAGTCTAATCTACTGATAAACCAGGACCTTGTTGGGACGGTTCCATTCGCTCGAATAAGCCATTCTGATGTTGCTGGAAACCATTTGTCTCGGTTGATGGTGTAAGTTAGAAGGGTTAACACTGGGCAGAATGGGTCATTGTAGCGGTTCACGATGGCTACCTCGCTCCCTAAGTATTTGGGATCGCCTTTGTGGTATGGTAAGATGTAGGTTGCTATCGTTCCGCAGTTTGAAATGAGCAATGAAGATCGTTTGATCGATTTTCGTGGATTTCGGAGCTTCACAGTGTCTGGATTGGTGAGTTCTCCTAAGCGGTGTAGCGCTGAGAAACCTAGACCGATGATTGTGTTGAATAACATGTCATCGAATGTTGAGTTAAAGGTTTTTCCACATAATTGAACATCTGCTAGCGACATAGGTGAGGCTCTCTTAATGGGATCCGAGAATAATTTCTGACAACTTTGAATCGAATTCCGGACTCTCTTAGAGAGTCGTGCTTCCACAACGAAAGGGAATTGGTCTTGGAAGGAGTAGACCATACCGGTTAGATACTTGTTGATAGTCGTTGGTTGGAGCTCACAGGACAGTAGAGAAACGAAGTGTGCTAGTGTGGTTTCATCTGGCCACAGCGGGATTTCCTGGTCAGCGCAGAATCTTATGAAACGGCGAGCTCCTGACTCGTATTTCGCTACGGACGAAGGTTCGAGACGTCTCTCTAAATCTGCTTTGTTGATACTTTCTCTTTCAGAGAAAGATAGAGGCGTTGCCTTGCTCTTGACTGCCTTCGGCATCGAATTTGAGATTGTTGAAATATCGGGACGTATACTTGATACCACCGTCTAGAGCTGGGTCTATTTGAGGAAGGATTTCATTAGTTATGCGAAGAAGGTTCAGCTCACTACAATCTTGTAATCTCCTTGACAAAGCATCGGCGATTCTGTTTCGGTCTCCTGCAATGTGTCTCACTTTAACGTCCATGTTTTCATGAAGCATGATCGTTACGGCGTGCCTGAATAACACGCGTACTGAGTCGATTGGTTTGTGAGAGCTGAAGAAACCTACTACGGACTCGTTGTCGGAAAAAATCACTACTCGATGAGCTTTCCTTTCCAAACCTAGTTTGATTGCTGATATTACAGCCCATAATTCGGCCCAATAGATTGCTCGAGACGGGGGAGGAATGACTTGACTCCAAGTTTTGTGGAGTTTGGGACACCAAATTCCAATTCCCGTGGTACAGGCGTCCACGAAAAACGTCAGGTCTGCTAGTTCGAGGTTCCAGAAGAGGGTGTTGAGGATAAGTCGTCCTGTCCATAGTTCTAGAGCGTCAGCCAGCCAAGAAAGGTCTTCGAAGACCATCTTGTTTCTTGGGACCTGTGCATTTCTTAATGTTTTCCCGGTGATCTTGTCCCATGACGACTGAATTGCCCACCTTCCTAAGGGGAAGGTGTTAATGGCCCAATTTGCCCAACCCGTGATTCGTTGCCAGGCAACAAGAGGTTGGGATCTAGGAAGAAGAAAGGCCCGTAGGGCTAGGACCAGAGCTAGTCGTTTTTCGTCGGGTAAAGCAATTGAAATTACTTCGCAGTCGATTTTGAAACCGATGACATCCAACTGCGCTCCAAAGACTTGTTTTTTCCAGTTCCAAGGAATGTTCAGAAAGTCAAACAGCTCAAGGAACTTAGCTTGGTTGAGGGGTATTTTGTGATTTTTGAAAGTGACCATGTCCGTGGGGGCTCCTACTCCCCACGAGTCGTCCATATATGCGTTTAGTTCAGTGATTTCGAATTCGTAATACGCTATCCAAAGAATCAAAGAGAAGAAACAGCACCAGAGATGTGGAGAACTTGCACTGCCGAAATTTACACAGCGATCCACGTGATAGGCATTGTCAATGGATACAACCTGTCTGTATTGCCATTGTCGTGACACCGGTAGGATTCTAAACGCAGAATCTACATCTGACTTCCAAATGAGAGACTTCTTGTTGAAGTGATGACGCCAGAGTAGGAAAGGTATGAAAGAGGCTATAGTGTCTAGCTTAAGCTTAATCTTATCCCGTTGAATGAGACTATTGGGAGATGGTTTACCATAGCTCATATTTGTGCACAACCGTACTTTGCCCGAAGTTTGGTTTGTGGCCAAGCATAACGGTGAGACTTTCATGCCTGGCAGTAGAATTTTAAAAGGTGGAGAGTAACGTTTTAGAGACATCTCCGAGTCTCGAGTCTTGATCAAAACAGCTAAGTCTTTGGGTCCTGAAACGTGGTTTGGGTACTGCGCAGTTGAGTCTGATGGTTTGTCGGCAACTGGCCAGAAACCTTCTGTTAGACCTAAGATGACGGACTCTACGAACGGTTGGTTTGGGTGATTTTTGAGGAGGAATTTAAGGCGTCTGACGTTGATAGGGGTATGAATCTGGAATATGTCAGGTCGTCTTTTAATAGCTTGTGCTGCAAACACGTCTGACTCTAGAGGGGGAGCGGAAGGAATTGGATCTGCCGTAAGAGAAAAATTAACCGAAGCAGAGAAGCCTTCTGAAAGAGAGTCAATCTCCAGATTTTGTAAGAACTTCCTGGCGTTAGGCACGTCTGTGGACGATGCCTCCTCTATGATCAAGTTCGCATCCCAGCTTGTTGCATACGTGATGCGCTCGGTTGCAGTCGTCGTCGGAATATGGACATACATTAGCGTTCCATAAGTTGCAAGGCTGGCCAGATAAAGGCTCGCCCGCACAATCCTTGAGAGGGTAGTCGAATGAAGTCCTCTTGGTCTTCTTTGTTTTGGTTTTCGACTTTGGTTGCTCTTTCGACGGACGGGCTTGAGACGATGCAGGCTGCTTAGATTTTTTCGAAGAAGAAGCTTGAGGTACATACTCAGGAAGAGTAGCTGGTTGATTAAGGCTGCGAGCTTCCAAACGCCTGAGTTCAGGAGCTTTGTAGTCGCCAAAAGTAATCCAGGTGTATTCAGAGAACTTGCGACGAAGAACACCGTCGAATTCCATAACGTTCCTCCAATCGCATTCTTCTTGCCAATTGCAGAGACTTTTGATGTAATCAAAGTAATCATCGATTGAGTCGGATGCTGGAGAGAAAGCTGCGTGGTAAGCGTCTCTGAGAATATCCAGTATTTGAAGAAAATCCGACATATTTTCGATTTCTCTTGGATCAACAACACCGCGAATGTCCAAGCCTTTGGATTTCTTGCTAAAGATGAATGTTTCTGAAGAGGGTTTAGAAGACATTTCGCCGAACAGTTTCTCAATCTCGATGTACTTGTATTCCAGTAAGTCTTTAGACATCGATGATGGGAAACCAGGTGGTTTGTTTGGTCCTGTGTTATATAGAGACAAGGCCTTCTTAGAGTGTTGAGAATACTCCCTGACCATGCTCTGAATGATAAGTGACATAGCACTAGCTTTACGGTTCTTGAGTTTCTCGATAGGAACCGAGAGAAGCGCCAAAGCAGATTCTCTGGCGACTGGCGAAGTAGTTCTAGTTCGACTATGATCAGAGGCTTGATCGTGACTGTCGTAAGAAGAACGAGACGAACTACTTCGACTGGAAGGAGATGATGACGGGTCCCGTCGACGTTTTCGGCTCTCCGGAGGAGAAGGAGGTGTGTTACTCCTTCTGCGATGAGAACTTCTTTCGTGAAGTACAGGAGGGGAAGGAGGTCGTTCGCGGCCTTTGCCTTTTTCTTGATGACGAGTAAGAGGGGGGCGAGATAGGGGTCGAGAATAAATCCTCTCGAGGATTGAATCTTGATGAAGATTTTCTTCTCGACCTTGGTTCTTGGAAAGATCCAAGGGAGGTATTCTTTCACGATGTGAAAGATTCGGAGGCGCAGCTGAAGCTTTGCCCCGAGAACGCCTACGCCAAGGACTTCAATGGCGAGATCGTCTTGAAGAGACGGAATGCGATGATAAAGACTTGAGGGAAATATCCTCAGGTCCGATTGTACCTCTTGGAAGGATACGTTCCAAAAGAGGAGGTTCAAGAAAAACCGATGGCTTGCGGTCGAAGGCTTCTGCCGTATTAATGACGGCGTTTAATCCTGAACCCGAAGCAACGACGAGATTATCTTCCTTCGAGTTTGGAGGTTGGAATACGAAACTTTTCGGTGCTGAGTAAAGCTCGCTTTCCAGATCCCTAGGCCACCAAGAAGGATCGAGGACGACCGGTTCGCAGGAAAGCGCTTCGCCAGGAGGCGGCATGATGGCCTCTCTACCTGAAATGGTATAAACTGGGCGTTTGGCTCCCACATCGAACTGGATGGCGTTTCTCGCCACAGCTGAGAAGTGGTAGATGAAGTTCGGATTGGAAGGAGAGAAAAACGAAGCGACTTGCTCGCGGAGCCAGCGCATATCGTACTTGTTACTTCCTCCCGATTTATGATATTTAATGAGGAGGTCATCGATGGCGTCAAATTTAGCAGTCTGGTCGTTGATAACCTTCGCAACATGTTGCATGATAAAGTATGAGTTTAAGAACGAAGAACTTCTTGAATATAATTAAAATTTTTGTACTTTTTGTGAGAAAACGATATATAACAACAAAATTTTGTAACAGTATTAGATACACTCTTAAATTTTTTGTTGATAATGGATTTGGATGATAGTAAAAAGATAACAAAAATCAATTGAGGAAAATCTGGAAAGAACCAATGCGCTCTCCAATACTTCACGAATGACTACCCTTCTATGAGATTCGATTTCCACTCTTCTCTTATTAGATAGCTTAACGTAGGTCTTTCCATCTTCATTCTGATGTCATTTCTCATCTGTAACTAAACCTTTCCTCACCTGCTACCATTCCCGTTTGTCAAAACGAGTTCCAACTCCCAGGAAAGAAATCATCGAATACCTTCAGTTGTTTGGAAGAAGCCAAAAAAATGAGAACAACAAGAGCCACTTTCGAAAGTGGAATATTTTCGCAACTGACTGTTATTTTCATTCATAATCTTGTGAGTAGATGAATTATCATGGTCTAAAGATGACACTCAGAGAAGACTTCACTTTTTACAGACAATTCAGAATGAAGGATGGTAGGATGGGTGTCAACATATTTGTCAACATTGAAAATATCAATATCAGCCCACCTGTACGCAGAGAGGCTGTTACATATCTTTGGACGATGGCCCACCCCACATTCGCCACTAGAACTCAAAGAATCTACCAAGATAACGTATTTAGGATTTAAGAAAGAAAGATGAAACAGACAGAACAAAGAAAAAAATCGAGCACACCCTGCACGCATCTTCTTGTCTTTTTCTTGTAAGGTAGCAGAACTGACATGAGAAAGGTACGATCAGTTGCTCAATTTCTATCCTTGGTACAAATTCAGAAGACCTAGTCCTTGAAAAACAATTTTATGCCCAAAAGCTCGTAGTAGATCTTCAAGGATTCTGCCAACCCCTCTCTACAATTGAGTGACTTAGTCAAGTGAATAAATGGCCTATGATTACCTTGAACACCAATATTTCTAGCTCTGAGCAAATTTTTAAGCCTGGCTATACCAGATAATGTGATACCTACATAGGTCGCTGCCAGGGCTTCATCGCGCGAAATGAGTTCTTCATTCATTTCTAGAAGTGATGAACCTTCTGAGTCTTTCCATATTGCACGTAAAGGTCTTATCTTGTTTCCTTTCAAAGCCATAAGTAACGACTTGAAGCGATTGAAGACGCGTTGTGAAAGTTCAGGATCAATGCTGAGTAACTGTGCAGCATGAGAGTTGATCCAATTGGACTCAGCTTGAGAGTAGAGCTCCGCTTCAGAGTTTCCAGGCGAGCTCAGTAGCTGGCCAGGCATTCCAGCTAAGGCATTCAACATCTGAAAATATTTTTTCTCCAACTCATCATCGCTTAGCCCTTTCCAAGATACTTCTGGTGCTGAAAGTTCCAAAGCAATCTCGATTTGGCGAAACATAGGCATGTGGAAAGCTTGCTGGCAGGCTGCCTCCAGAAATTTTTTACCAAAAAATCCATGAGGACTTGGTGTCTCCAGCTCTTGGATACGCAGAAATATCATGCTACGTCGGAAGCCGAGGGAATCTTTTGATAAGTGACCTAGGAGTTCATGCTCAGAAGCGGCCATAAGCTCGAGATGGGGTTTGAGAAACTCAATTTCCTCCTTTGTAGTGTCAAGGAACAATTCAAACGGGTTTTCATAATGCAACAAAGTAGCTACTTGTCTTGCCTCTTGGCTCCACATGTCTTTCTTTTCTTTGAATATTTCGCTGTCTTTTATGAGAAGATATTGCAAAAAGAATGCCTTTTGGCGTCGAATTCTTTCAATACGTTCAACCGACGTGAGTTCCTCGGCCAATATGTCTTCAATAGTCTGTAACCAGTACGCGTTCATGTGTGGTGTTCGCAACTTCGCTTCAAGCTCAGCTTCACGAAGGGTTTTGACTGTTTGAGACTTCAAATTTAGCTCCAAGAGAGGTGTATGGTTTTCCACGCGAAGAAACTCTTCCATCAGACTGCGATACGACGGATGGCTGCTTGAAGACGGAACATCAATCTTGCGGTTATCATCGGAAACAAAGATACTTTGAAGTCTCTTTTGAAGATTCTTGATAAGTTTTTCATGCTCTGTTTCTTTCCTTTCATCAGAGGCAGATGTTTCTTTCAAGGCTTTCAATAAGTCTGTATCCCAATCTTCATCAATATCTTTACCAGCTTTCCCTTTCTTACCAGCATTTGAATTTGATTTTGAGCTTGTATCATTCTTTTTCTTTTTCTTTTTACTTGAATTTTGTAATCTTTTTGATGATGTTTTTAAAGCTTCGAGTGAATTGATAGAATCTGAAGAAGGCTCATGATGAACCTTTGGCAGCTCAGTGATCAAATTAATGGCCTCTTGGGATGTATCTACTTTCCTAACTTGACTGTTCTTGAAGATCTTTTTGGGGATGATCCAATCATCTTTATTCTGTGAAATAATTTCCTCCACCCTATCACTGGATTGATGTCCATGAGGATCTTCTCTGGGGCTTGATCTCTCAATTTTGACTTCCTTTGGTGACTCCATAAATGACTGTTTCTCAAGTACCAACTTGGATCTCCAGGAATCCGAAATTGGGGTTCCTGGTAACACTGGAACGGTGCCTTGGCCTAGACATGACTCTGTTTGTGTCTTGATGGTGATTGGTGGTTTCTTTCCTGACCAAATTTTCTTGTTCTCCTTTTCTTTGACTTGTTCTATCCTTAAATTTCCAGGCTTCAAGTTCTTCTGTAGACGATGAGAGTAGCTATTCTCAATGTTGGAGGTCTCCTTAACTTGGTTGGAAGCACCTTCATTGTTCCTGTTAATCATTCAAAAAGAAGTCTTGATCCTATCCCTTTATTTCAACTTCAGGTTTCAAAGAGATCACTTACAGAGTCCCTTCTTTTAAAGCAATTGGATCTGGTTCAGAGGGCCTTGTGTCTGCTTGCACCAATTTATATTGATTTTTACTACCAGCAAAGTATTCTGAAATAAGTGTCTTGTACATTTTAGTGATGCAAATTTAAATGTGGTCACCTCGAGGTTTCTTTTGTGGAGGCTGAGCCTTTATGCCTCTCTTGGATCTTCATGCCTTTTTCTGTTGGAATTGCCTTCAAATCCATCACCTCATTTTGCGCGTTGATTGGGAAAATAGAACTATGATTCTCAACATCTACTCCCCGCACAGGTTCATGACAATGAGCATAGTTGTTGTTTGATCCCTGTAAATCATCTTGCATGGCAATAAGGAAAGAAAAGAAGGGGTCCTCAATACAACTTATCTAAGCATCATTCAGAATCATAATTATACCATGTGGGTGATTTGAACCAAATTGTTGACTGGCAGAATGTTGAATTTTAGGGGTATTCCTTGGGTTGGAGGCCTTTGATGGACCAAATTCTGGGGCATAGGCTGATAGCAGATAGTTGGTTGAAGTTGAAGTCTCTGCACCTGTATCTTCATCAACAGGAGCCAAGACTTGATCAATCTCTTGGTCATGAATTTTCATCAAGTGTTTTCCGTCTTGCTGTGATAAAGCCTTGGTTTCCTGGTCAGAGCTTTCAACCATCTTTATATCTATAACATCTTCAGGGTTGGTGAAAGATCTAATAAATGGAATAGTGCAAATTATCAATGCTGAAGCATGTAAATATCGAATCCCAAATCTCCAGCTCCTCATAGTGGAAATATTTCAGGAGATAAATGATGATAGAAGCTCTTGATCAACAAATGTATGTATCTCTGATCACCAATTTAAGCAAATTATTTGCACATAGAATGGATCTGACAAGTTTGAAACTTTTGTGCCCACTTTGTCTTACACTACATCACTTCATGTCCAGAGCCTCTGACATGCACAAGCTCTGAGATCATAATATTGATGCTCTTCTGCAGCCAAGACTCTCCAATGGATTGTCTCTGTGTCATTGAATACATCTTACAAGTTTCTTCTTATCACTTTTAAACTCATCATTACATGTGTTTGGAAAGAAAAGGTTGAAACTGCCGAGTAAGCACGCTTGAGTCAAATTCCAAAGATGTGACACATTTCTCTGACCACGCAGTACTTGAAATAGAGCCCACTTGAGTTTGGGTCTGGCTTACTGTAAGGCAAAATGTCCATCTATCTGATTGAACCACACTAGAAATGTGCAGTGGGGTATATCCGTGTCAGAATGGCATTGCGAGATATGTGGGCATTGAGAAACATCTCCAGATGATATGCATGTATCACCTGCCAATGAGAAGCAAGAGACACATCACGTGGTTTCTGCGGCCAGCATTTCTTACAATGAGAAGGATGTCCATAAATCTCTTCGAGTGATCCCAATTGGCCCGGAGGATAAACACGTGCCTTTTCCCATGAAGAGTGACTGACCGTATCTTCACTCTGAGAAGCATCTCAATTGTTGAATTTTACGCTTGAATGTGGCCAATTTGATGATTCATTCCACAGAGGAGAACTGTCCATGGATGATATCATGAATTGAATTAGTGTATCCTTTCTTATGTATGTGTTCTTCCCTTTGTGATTGCAGTCAGGTTTTCTTTGGGAGTGACAATTTGGAATTTTGCAAGTCAACTTTTTTGCTTCCACTAACTTCCACTCAACCGATTCTCACTCGATCTGACTTGCTTGTAAGTATTCAGCAGAATTCTGTTGAGGGCGACAATCGGTTCTCCTGTTCTCACCCATCTGGTCGAACGCCCCATCGGAACGACCTTCATCCTCACTTCGATTCCCAAAATAGCATGGAGAAATTCTCGAATTGGAGAGTGCGTTTGACTGCTATTCTATCTCTTCCGTCTTCACCAACTATTAGGCTCAATCACATCGCTCCCTTCTATTCGATGAGTCGCTTCACAGGATCCATCCACAGGTCTTGCACCATTTGTTTATCCGCCACCACCTCTATCCAACTTCAGGCATCCAGCTCTATTGAGCATACCATTTTACGTGTTGGCATTTCTACGAACGATCTCACTGGTCGGATTGGCCCTCAATTATCTTATTCTTGATCAAGCATTGAATCCTATGTTTGTAAGTCTTTGGAATCTTGTTACTCGGATAACGATTGGTAAGATAAGATCTTTAAATCAAGTCAAATCTTTACACCTCTTCTTCTGGGTTAACAACGGATATGATCGTTCAGCGCTGACACCCTCGTAAACTTCGCTACCTTCATGATAGATCACCTCCCCAGGCTTGTGGAAATTTTTTAGGTCATGGTTGTCATGTATCCTGGGGAGGATGGCTCTTTACCTACTCGGATTCACTCGCCTACCTGCGGATAGTCCATTCTCGAGTCTCAGAGGCATGTCAGTCATTACTATGCTCGATCGTGAACGGGATCTTCCTACTACAACTACAACCACAACAGATGCTGAGAGTTTGAATTCTGCCCAGCCCAACTAGGTCTCGAGTCGGACCTGGCGACGTGATCGTAGTTAATTGGTGCAGCTACGTTGACATAATCTATCTAGCGTACCTGTGAGTTGCTACTCTTTGCATTTTCCTACAGCATCCATTTTGCATCTATCTTTGCTGATGTTTACCAATTCAAAACAGATTTGATCCGATTTTCATCATTCCCAGTCCAAGCTCACAGCCACAACAAGATCATGACGCAATTCACGGGTTTTGCGCTCGATCTATTCTAAGTTTGATCACCACATCTGGACATCCCCCATCCGCCAGCGATGAGCACACCGAAGCTTCAGAAAAGATGCCTAGAACATTATCTGAATGGGTTCTAAGGGCGAAGATCTCTAGTCAACCAGTGGTCGTATTCCCAGAAGTTCAGTGAATTTCTCATAAGAGGTTATGAACTTGAGAGGCCAGTATTCAGGTCTAGTGCTGATTTAAAAGAAATTGCAATTGTCCATCGCGCGCGCATTTTCAAAACCAGGCTACCACATCAAATAATCGAGCTATCTTGCGCTTTGTCAAATTGACTGCCAAGCTTCGAGGAACGCATCGTCAGGACATCAGGTTTTTTTGCCTCGGCTTTAAGTGAGATCCTCCTACCTTTACTCATTCGTTCCCCTCTGATGATTTTCAATTGATGGAATTCCAATGTGCTACAGGCACGAAAGTCCTACTCACTTCCGCCCATCAATCACATGTCCAATCCCTTCCCCATTCTCAAACCTGATCCACATCCTTCGTGCGAACTTTTGTCCAATCCTACTTCCTGGAATCTCCCCACGTACATTTACGGTTCGGTATCCCAAATCCGGACCATTCGTGGTATCATCTGATCAAAAGGACAGGGACCCATTTGGGGAATGTGCAGAGATGATTTCAAATGCTTGTAAGATGAAACAAACTACCAAGATTGGATGGGCGGATAAGGCGGGATTCTTGAGTTATGTTGATGTTCGTCGGTCTTAAATGATAGTATTGAAATATCCAAGATTCTTTATCACATCAGTTCCCAATTGCTGGTTTACATCTTCACTGTATTCACAATGTAAACCTTCATTTCTTGTTGAAGCGGTATGCCGTGCAAGTATCATCAATTGAATTTGTACTGGACTCTTCCATGGGATTTCTTATTGCCCTAACTCGACCATGTACTGCATATCCCATTCTCAATTATCTACCAATCTATCATTCTTCTCTTTAGAAGTTTATGAGATGACTTGCTTATTGGACCTGGGGTAATATATCAAGATGATTAGGTATTTCAACCCTGGGCCATGTACAGATGACAGTGTGTGTAAGAAGAAGACAAAAGAGACATTATCTTCAGAGTCATACTTCATCATATTCTTTGTGGTGATTTATCATTGTTTTCATTTAACCTGCAGGTGCCAATGTTGAGAATAGAGTGCAGGCATGAGAAACTGCAGTAAGCTGTGTATATGTTGAATATGATATACAGTGACATCATGAAGATTTTTGGTTCAGGGAATGTGTAGAGGGAAAGGAGGACTTTAATTTGGTCCGCTCATCTTTCTCATGTGCCCTTATGAGAATTTAGAAGGCAAAGAGTTTCATAAATAAGATCTTGCTCAAGACCCTTGTCACCCACCATATGGTTCTGAGCTATGGCATCTGCACTTTACTTATGACATTAGGATTTATTTTTTTTACTATTTTACTTGAAATCAGAAGCGCTATATCAAAGTTTTGTAGACATTCACCAGAAGCCTGTATTTTTTTATTAATCCAGATGCGCTTTGAGTCTAGGAAAAGGTGTCATCAGATCCATTGTATGAGATTGAATGATGAGTGAGGTTGATGAGTGACAAGAGACCTAGAGCCATAATTGCACAATCAACATAAATATAAATGCGGTAGGGATTGTGGAAGCCTCAGCTGCTGCATCACTGAGTCCTGGCGCAAGACATATCAGTCAAAGTAAAGAGAGTTCAGGATGAAATTGAGTGTCTTCTCCTTATAAAGCTGTGCCCCTGACTGGTTGCTCCGTGATAGAGCAAGCATCTTGCAAGAAACCGGGGCTTAGTTAAGCTTACAAGAAACCCAGAGATTCACTCGTGCGGCCTCGTGCGGCCGTCATGCTTGGATCTTAAGCCCCCGGCCCCGGGTGGGCTGAAATTACTTCATACCCGCATAGCCCCGCATGACGGATCCCTGTGTGCGATGTGGTGAGCTATGACTCGGTTGATCGACCGGGTTAGGAGAGTTGCCGCTAAATTTCTTTAAAACCATTCACATCGCACTCAACTTCATCCTTCTCAAGTTCTACTTACCGTTATGCCACTCACTCGGTCTCGATCTCCTTCTCCCCGAAAAGACCCATCCAATGATGATGCAAAACGTAGGAGGACTCATTCCCATCGTTCTGACGCCGGTCATCATCACGATCGAAATGCTTCTCATCAATCCGGCTCACATCTTTCTGACCATCCTAGACACACTGGCTACAAGAGAGATGAAGAACCCCGTAGATCAAGCAAGGACGTACGATCTTCGAGTAAGCTAGATTCAGGAAGAAATCATAGCTTTTCAAGAGATCACCGTGATCGAGATGATGATCGAAGGCAAGATCGAAGGCTCAGGTCTCGTAGTCGTGATCGTGGTTCACATAGGGATTCTAGGGATGATACCCGTGATCGAGATTTAGATAGGCATCGATCTGAAAAGGACCGTCGAAGGTATGATGATCATAGCCATAGAAAGAGGCGAAGAAGTCGAAGTAGGGATAGAGACAGATGGGCCAGTAGAAGAAGCAAATCTCCAGACGAAAGGAAATCTCGTGATGAACGAACAGATCGGAGACGAAGTGATTATCGTAGTGAACGCTTGTCAGTACCAGTTGTCGATGAGTCTGATGCGAGAGAACCAGGTTCTAGCGAGTTACCTGCTTCAACGTCTGAGATTGCGAACCCAACTACGACAAGCACTCCGAGCGTTTCTGCTTCTCTTGCAATTGATATGTCAACCTCTCAAACAGACACGCCTAGTCGTCCTCCGACCAATGTACCGACAGTCGGTGCTTCCCTAGATAGCTCGATTGACCCATCAGCACCTGGGTCCGCTGTAGCCAAAGCTAGAGCAATTGCAGAGGCTCGAGAAGGACGACTTCCTGGAGAAACATTAGAGCAACAGAAACTAAGAATGAAGCGTGAACGTCTTGAACAATGGAAGGCGAAGAAAGCATTAGAAGACGGAAGTAACCCTGCCACTCCATCTACAATATCGAAAGTTCCAACGGGCTCTACAGCCCCTCCAGCCGGACTCCCGAAAGAAGGAGAGCGTTCTAAATCATCTTTACCCGGCCTGCCATCCAAACCTTCCATGATTACCCCCGGGAAAGGTCTTCCTAAAAAACCTACTGCGCTTGCGGCTGATGAAGCAACTGCTGCCGCTTTAGCTGCTGCTGCTATCTCAGCTCGTCTCAACACCACTCCACCCATGCTTCAGCCGGCAAATTTGACGAGGAATTCAGCTCCTGTCGGTATCAAGGGTCTTCCTGCCAAGCCTAGCTTCAACACTTTCCCTGATCTCTTGCCAAATGGTCAGGCCAAGATGGGGGCTGCTCTTGAAACTGAAGAAGATGGGACTCAGAAGAAGATTCAAAAATTGACGTTCGAAGCTATCAATGCCGATGACGATCTCTTAAAACTTGTGGAAGCTGAAGAAGACAGTGACGAAGAAGATTTGGTCGATGGTGGTCACGGTGGATACAACATGCGTAAACTTGCAGGAACTGTCATGCAAGAGGATGAGAATGGCGAAATGAATGTCGATACGAACGAGACAACTGAGGCATCTGAAGAGGGTACAAATAAAGTTAGATTATCTCAAGTGGTCGAAGAAGCCAGGAAGAAGAGATTCGAAGCTGCCTCGCTACCTGTTGAAGTCAAAAATAAAGATCCGACCCCACCCACGGACCAGAACCAAACGGCAATGGACATAGTGGATGAAGATATCGATCCCTTGGACGCTTACATGTCGGCAGTCACAGATGAAGTTAGTAAAGTGAATGCAAGTGACCAGCAGAGAATGGCTCAGCTCAATCAAGGCCGTAAGGTATTTGAAGAGGACGAAGAGGAGGAGGAGGAAGAACCTGTTGTTGCAAGTGATGATGAGATCGAGAAGACGAACCTAAGACCAGAGGACATTCTAGCGTACGTTGAGCTTGGAATTTTGTTTGGCGTCCTATCCTGTTCTTCCTATGTAAGAATTTGGATGTGATAGGTTAACTGATCTTTTCTAAATCCGCCCAACACCAGGCTCGCTGCCAAAAAGCTGAAGAAGAAAGATTTGGCGCCCGTAGATCATTCCAAGATTGATTACGAAAGTTTTCGTAAAGCATTTTATCATCCGCCTGCCGAAGTTGAAGATATGTCAGAGGAAGAAGCTGAAAATATCCGAATCGCGATGGATGGAATCAAAATTCGAGGCCAAGACTGTCCTAAACCGGTGATGAAATGGAGTTGGTTTGGACTGCATTCTGCATGGTAATCTTATCTGCTTACTATATCTGTGTCACAAACCGTTTGAGGCTTATGCTGATGATATTGTTTTGGCATGGGTGAAATAGTCTTGAAGTGATCAAGTCGCTTGGCTATCAAGCTCCCTCGCCTATTCAAGGACAAGCTGTTCCTGCAATCATGTCGGGTCGCGACGTGATTGGAGTAGCTAAGACAGGCTCAGGTAAAACCCTCGCTTTTTTACTGCCGATGTTCCGACACATCAAAGATCAAAGACCATTGGAAGCCTTAGAAGGCCCAATAGCTATGATTATGACTCCTACTCGAGAGTTGGCTACTCAGATATACAAAGAAGGTAGACCATTTTTGAAGGCATTGGGCTTGAGAGTCAGTCACCCCTTTTCTCACCATTGAGCTACAGTTCGAATATATGTTACAAGTTCTCTTACGTTTGCTTGACATCTCCTTATCTGCCCTACGGTTTGATCAGGCGGCGTGCGCCTATGGTGGTTCTCCCCTAAAGGACAACATCGCCGATATGAAACGTGGTGCCGAAGTGATCGTATGTACGCCAGGTCGCATGATCGAACTTCTCACTACCAACTCAGGACGAGTCATCAACATGCGTAGAGTGACCTATCTGGTGTTGGACGAAGCAGATAGAATGTTCGACATGGGTTTCGAGCCACAAGTCAGTCATTCTGTTCCAATTGATCCGTTCTTCAAACTTTATGTCTATTTATCGTGCGGATGGATATCTTCCTTTTTCATATGGGGTTTAGGTCATGAAGATCGTCAACCAAATCCGGCCCGATAGACAAACTGTCCTTTTCTCTGCCACGTTTCCAAAACAAATGGAGGCATTGGCTCGAAAGATTCTTCGACGGCCACTCGAAATCACTGTCGGCGGGCGATCAGTAGTAGCTTCTGAAATCGAGCAAATTGTCGAAGTGAGAGACGATTCGACCAAATTCAATCGATTGCTTGAAATCCTTGGTCGTTTCTATAATGAAGATTCAGAGTCGCGTTCGTTGGTGTTTGTGGACCGCCAAGAATCAGCCGATAACTTGTTCCGAGATCTATTGAAAAAAGGTTATCCCTGTCTCTCGTTACACGGAGGAAAAGAACAGGTAGATCGAGATCAAGTGATTGCGGATTTTAAAGCTGGTGTGACACCCATTGTGATTGCTACCTCGGTGGCCGCTCGTGGTTTAGATGTGAAACAATTGAAGTTGGTCATCAATTATGATGCACCTAATCATATGGAAGATTATGTACATCGGGCTGGCAGAACAGGTAGGGCAGGCAATAAAGGTACTTGCATCACTTTCATATCGCCCGATCAAGAGAGATATGCCATTGATTTACTGCGGGCACTGGTCGCTAGTGGTGCCAAATACCCCGAGGAACTCAAGACTATGTCCGATGGTTAGTGGTCTCTTGTTTCGTTTTCCTGGATTTCAAGACTCTCAAGATTCGATCTTGGCTGACCTTCATTGTGATCACCTGCCCCACGATATACAATTGGTTTTCTTATTTACATCACCTAGCATTCCTGGAAAAAGTCAAGACAGGTAAAGCGCAGGCTTCAGGCTCAGGCTTTGGCGGTAAAGGCCTAGATAGGTTAGAAAAGGATCGAGATGCCAAATCGCGTGCTGAGCGATCAGCATATGGTGAACCAGGAGGCGAAGATATCGTCAAAGAGGAAGGACAAACAAATATCGGAACGACTGGAGCGACTGGATCGACTGGTGTGACAGGCAGCGCTGTTGAGATTCCGGAATTGAATGTTGAAGTCAAACGAGGTCCGGCTCCGGATTCTAGTCGTCGATCACAAGCTGCAGCTAAACCTGCACCTGCACCACCAGTTGATGTTGCAGCAACACCTGCGCTTACGGCGGCTTTGAAAGCGGCACAAGCTGCCGCACAAGCTAAAGGGTATGTATCTCACTGATATTCTCTGGAACTGTGCACTTACAAACGTTGTACGTCGGATCTAGATTGGACGCTAGCGGAATCTCAAGAGCTCAGAATGTGGTAGCCGACTTGAATGCTAAACTGAAGAGCATGATCGCTGCCAAGAATGCTCAAGCACAGGCTGGGAATCATGAGAACACGCGATCCAAAGATCCTGACGCCACAGACTTTCACGCGATTGTACCGATTAATGATTATCCACAGGTGAGTCAATTGATTCCAAACTTGTCTAGCTGCATGATCAAGCCTTGTCGGTCCGAGGTCCTTGCTGACCTTATTCTTCATATCTTTTGATACTACAGAAAGCGAGATGGAAAGTCACAAATAAAGAGACTATGGTACAATTGGTTGATAGTACTGGTGCTTCGGTGACGAACAAAGGTATGTAATGCAATCACACAGTTTTATAATGAATTGAGCAAAAAAGCTAAAGTCATCAATATGTTTCCCATTTGTTTGGAATCCTTTAAGGTGTGTTTTATGATAAGGGTAAAGAACCGGGTCCTGATGAGCCACCCAAGTTACATCTTTTGGTTGAGTCGAATGAGGAATGGAGGGTGAGCGTTTTTCTCCTTTTTACACTTTAATATCTCTTGCATATACTTATTTGTGTTCTTTCATTAATCAAGGTTCAACGTGCTATCACCGAGATCAAACATATTCTTATTGAGGCGACCACTCAAGCGCTTGAAGCTGAATCAAGAAACCCAGGTCAGGCTGCTGGACGATATAATGTGTTGGGCTAAGAAAATCGCAAAAGAAGGATCGGTGATATGTGGTTTCATCGGTGTTCTTTCATAAGTTTGTGTAGATCATGGTGTAGATAGTCCTTTGTAGACCCTACTGATTATATTGGTGATGGCTGGTTATGTCAGTTATACCTCGATTGCAATAGCAGATAATGAAAAGTGACAAATTTATAATCACCTAAGCCAGAGGGAAATGAGAAAACAATAGATGGCACTTTGGTATAGCTTTGAAATTGCTCGAAAATTTGGAAATCAATTGAGGACAGTCTAATCACACACTTTTGATGGTTGTAAGGTTCTTCACTCAAGTCTGTCGATTACTCTGAATGCAAGTACCTGATTTGATGATAAAGTTTGTACTCTGAATTGAAGTTCACAAGAGCCCAAATATGCTGACACAGAAGAGATAAGAAAAAGATTAAAAACACTTGGATAACATAAAAAACAGAAGCAGAACAAGGACTGAATAAGTCTTTCTGAAGATTGTCAATCTTAGAGAGGCATGTTGCGTTTACTACAAAGAGCAAGACAGAGAGAAAGAAGCTTACGAGAAAGAAGACATACAAAGCTTAAATGTAAAAGAAATGAAAACTAATCGTTACAATTTCGAAAGAAGGGTATCAAGTTTAAAACTGCAAAAAGGCTTTTGTTTTCTTTACAATAATTCAGATGTAGGTCTAGTAAGAGCAGAAAGAGTAGATAAACTACTTGAACCAGGAGAATGAAGTTGATCTGAAGGTTTATGAGTTGTTATTGAATTTGAAGAAGAAGAAGAAGAAGAAGGATGAATTGGAGATGAAAAGGATTTGAAAGTGGGCGTGGGTGTTGGAGTAGATGAATTAGCTTCACGTAGTAAAAAGGAAACCCATTGATCTGTAAATGTATCCCCATCTCCTAAAGTATCATCTTCATCAGAGCGAAGTGAAGTACGTTGTAGATCTGACGAAACTTTGGCGATTGGTCCATTACGAGTAGTGCGAGAAGTGCCAGGGGTGGCTTTCTGTAGGCCTACTTGTTGCCGTTGGTCGTCGTTCCAAGATAGAATGGTGGCCAGCAATGAGAGCATCTCGAATCGTTTTGTATCAGCTCTAGGTGTGGTGATGAATGAAAGGAGAACATTTGTGACGAGACGCCTGGTAGGATTCAAACATCATCAAAGCCATCATCATGCGTTAGCTTCGGAAGTCAGGTGATTGCATAACAAGGAAGGGCCTCCTACCTATCCACGCTGTGTTCGGCTGTATCCCTACGTAACCTACGAAGTGCTTCTGTGAGGTGCTCATTCAAGATCACAGCTAGAGACCACAGAAGATGATGATAAGTCGAAGGTAGCAGGTTTCAATGGTCAGGAAAGCCATCGGACTGACCTTCATGCCTAATTTTGCCAATTAGAATGTTTTTTTCCTTCAATTCTTTTTTCAAAGATTCACAAAGTACAGTATCCGATTGAGTTGCTGCCAATTTTGCCTGTCCATTTGAAAATTTAAGATATCAAGTTAAAGTCTATCGTAGGGATTTGAAACAGAAATGAAGCGAACCTCTGCTGCCGAAGCTTTCTGCTTATAGAGTGCCAGTTCGGTTTCCAATTCTACTAGTCGGTTTTGTGTCTCACTGACCACATTACTTATTTCACTGTCTTTAGCTACATTCAATCAAGAACACCATGTCAGTGAAGAGTCTTAATGATTGTAGCAAGAAAAGATATACCTGCTTGAAATTCTTCAAGAACAGATTGTAAATTAGAAGCACTCTCTGCCTGCATATCACGATCTTCCTTTAAAAGTTTTAAATCATTTGACATACTACTAATCACATTTTCCATACTTTGAACTTTAGATTCAGCTTGTTCACGTTTAAGAGATTCTAAAACGAGATCTCTTTTTGAATCTTCTAATTGGTTTTTAATCATTTCTAATTCTTCTCGACTCTCACGATAAACTTCTTCACGTTCATAATGTTCTTCTTCCATAAGCTTTTGTGAATCGATCTGACGTGATCTTAATTGATGGATTTCTTTTTCTAATCTTTCTTGTTCTTCATTTGAAATGATGATTTCGTTTTTAAGTGATTCTAATCCTGAATGTAATTCTTCATTTTGGATTTGAAGTTGTGAAATTTGTTGTTCTCTTCTATCTAATTCATCCTATTTTAAACCAAACCAAACCAAAAACAAAAAAAAATCATTATCAACTTCATCATTAATACTAGATTTTTTTTCTTTTTCTTTTTTTGAAAATTTGGACAAAAAATGATCCTCACTCACAGCATCTTGTCTAAGTTTATCTCCTAGTGTGTTACGCATTGTGGTAAGTTTTCCAAGTAAAGCTCCATATTGTCCTTCAAGAGTTGATTTCTCTGCTCTTAAGCTTTCGAGTTGTTGTTGTAATGATGAATTTGTTTCTGATTGAGTTTCAGATTCATTTCCATTTTTGAGTGCTAAAGAATTCGATACATTGGATTGATCGAGAGAGGTGGCCATTTTCAAGGTGGTGAAGGTTGAGTTCGAAGGTCGTCGTATGTGGAAAAGAGATTGAGAGGTTAAATTGGAATTACCATGAGTTTGTACCCAACATACAATGCATCTTACCGGATCAGGCATGATACGGTCCCGTGGCTAACTGTATTCGTATTGACTTGAAAGTTGAGATCAGTTTGACTGACATAAAACGGTGAAGCACAGTGAAAGTGCATGTTTGGTCTGCATACTTGAACATGCAGAGCAAATATCATGCCAGCCTACTATTATGCATCTTTAAGTACACCGCTAGAAATTGTTTCTATGGCGGACTTTTGTATGAAGATATCAATTATTTCTCAGTTGAGTTCCACAGGGTCCCTTTTTGGAATTGCATCCAAAGGAGAAACTTATTTTTCAACACATTATTGAGTAAATGAAGAGCCAGTCATATTTCATAGAGAAAAACTTGAAGCTGGTGTTCTTATGAAACTCCTGTAATTGAACTGATGGTGAACTCGACACAGCACCTAGGCTTGTCACTTATCTTCAATAGCTCACACTTTGAGTCTAATCACAACCATCTAATTAGAAAGGCTGAGGAATCCATTTGGTTTTACCACATTATCACTATCGAACGTCACTTTAGACTAATGATTAAAAAAAGTGTCTCCAAGTAAGTCTACCAGATGGCTGACTGATGGGAGAAGCCATCTTTCATCACTGGCCTTTTGGCATTGCTCAGAAAGAAACAGATGTCTTCCATTTCCGTATCAAATGCGATTGACTGAGTTTTTCAGTCCTGTCTGGTTATTCAGAAATGGCAGTTCCGTAGTATATTCTGATCCAGAATCAAGGAATTCCAGATGAACAGGAATAATAAAAGTCTAATGGCAGACCAGAGGACTTGAGAGATGTGGAAAGATTGCTGGTTTTCATTAATTTCTGCCCGCTGTATTTGAAATTCGCTAAGGTTTTGGTTACTAGTTGAGGCTGTATGACTATGTGGTGCATATGTAGGGTTACATGAAATGACCTGTAACTTTTAATTAAAAGGAGAAAGAGGGGAATTGAAATTTGATCGTTCGGACTTCCCACTTTTCCAAATTCAAAACTCTTCGTTCGGTCCCATACACATTTTCAAATTTCATCCTTCATCTTAAACAAACTTCTCTTCTCACCGGTGCATCTGTCCGGCCCGTCCGACCCGCTCTTTAACTCTTCATCCTTTCAATGTCTCTTTCAATCTCAGCACAAGATCAGGACCCAGCTCTGGCACCCGAGTTGGCACCGTCTATCGCTCCTGAACTCGCTACTCAATTAGCACCGGAACTAGCAACTCAACTAGCACCCGAACTGGCTCCTCAACTGGCTCCTGAACTCGCACCTGAACTCGCACCTGAATTGGCACCTGAATTAGCACCCGAACTTGCACCTGAACTCGCACCTGAGTTAAAACCAGAAATCAAACCGACTTTACCACCAATCCCACTAAACCCATCATCTTCATCAACCAAAACTAGTTGGGTATGGCAATATTTTTCTGTTGAGATTATCGATGGAAAGAAAGCCCATATTTGTCAAGCTCCAGTCAGTCCGGGTGGTCCGATTTGTAAAGCCAAATTGACCCCTGATAAGACTGCGAGTACCAAGAGCTTATCTCGTCACCTCGATCGACGACATGGTATTACGGCGAACAAATCGGCTTCCGATGCGAAGCCACCCATGCCGGCTGGACCGAGAGCACCCCGTGTAAGTCTACGTTCTTGAATGCCTCTTTTACTTGGACGGATAAGAGATCGACCCAAAAGACTTACGGATCGAAACTTTAGCCCTCACAACCTAGACGCAGACTTAATCGCGAAACGTTAAAGGAGGCGATGTTTAATTTTGTCGTCCATCATGAGCTCCCTTTGGCGACAGTCGACCATCCTGCTTTCAGCAATTTACTCGCGGTTTGTAATCCTGAGGCTAGAGCCCTTTGCATCAGTACCGATAATCTGACCGAAATGGTCGGACATAAGTATCGCGCTGCTCAAGAGTCTCTTAAGACTGAATTTGCCAACCTTAACGGTCAGATCAGTATCACTATGAACGTTTGGAACTTACGTAATGATACTTCGGTTTTGGAGATCACTGCTCATTGGACTCGAGACGATTGGAGGGTGATCGATGCCACTCTTAGTATCACTAAACTTGAAGCGATGCATACCGAAGCAACAGTAGCGGAAACTCTTAAACAGTTACTTGACTTTTATGGGATCTCTAATAAGCTCTTCTGTATCACGGCCGATAACACCCTTGCCAATGCGAATTTGGCTAGTAATTTGGCACTTCAATTTCCTGGCTTTGATCCTCAAATCCAACTCTTGAGATGTATGGGACACGTGATCAATTTGGCTGCCAAGACTGGATTGAAGGCCTTTGGAGGTGTTAATACTGAAGATGCGCCAAGTTTCGATTATGTGGATGTGGATAGTAATTCGATTCCAGTTTCACCTGAAAACCTGATTACTATTACTAGTCGTTTAAGAGCACTAGCCATTCATGTAGAAACTTCTCCTGCACAAAAAGACTTTTTTCTTCAAACTGCTAAAGTGATTGGCTTCAATAGTCCGATCGGTTTGATGCATGATACTTCTTCTCGTTGGAATTCGGCTTATCAAATGTTCACTCGTGCACTTCAACTTCGTACGGCTATTGATTATTATTGTGAACAAGATTCTAGCTTGCGACAATATATGTTATCGACAGCGGAATGGAGCAAAGTCGAACAATTGATTCGATTCTTAAAACCTTTAGATAGAGCTGCCACTGATCTTACTGGTCCGAAATATCCGGCTTTCGCTGAGGCATCCTTAACTTATGAATGGGTAGTTCGACGAACTGATAGTGTAAGTGATTGAGATCTTTTACATTCTGAGATAAGTTGTAAAGAGTTTGACTAATTGTCATTTTTATCTCTAGGCGGCTGCCGATTATTCTGCCGAAGGACTTATTGCGCCCCTCCAATATGTCAAAAAGACGTTGGATGACTATCAAGGACATATCCTTCTTAAACCGGTCTACCTTTGTTCTGTGATCTTAGACCCACGTAGCAAAATGAAAGAAATCGATGGTACCACATTAGCAGCAGCAGGAAAAACTCCAGAAGAATTGAAAGCATTCTTTATCAAAGCAGCTGAAGCCTTTAGTACATATAATGAGAACGTATCAATCGTCAAAGAAGAAGAAAATACAGAACAATCAGATGATGAATCAGATGGACCTAGACGATCACGTAAGAGAAGAAAAATGAATGATTTAGGATCTGAGATTGAAGCTTATCTTTCAAGTGAAGTAGAAGATCCACAACAACAGATTCATACTTATTGGAATCGAAAGAAAGAGATTTATCCTACACTTGAAGCTATGGCTCGTACTTTCTTAGCTGTTTCAGTCACGAGTGCTCCTTCTGGTAGAGTGTTTTCTTCTAATGAAGCTATCCTTAATGAACTTAGAATGTCAATGGTCAAACCTGAGAATTGGGAACCACTTGTGTATCTTAAAAGTTGGTCTGAAAATGGTTTGATCTGATGCTTTTCTCTCTTCATCTTTCTTTTTGTTAAAGCTCTTTGGGAGCCATTGTTTTCTCTTCAGATTTGTTTTTTTTTGAGATTGATAAATCAAAAGTTGTGTTTACTTCATGAAGGAGGAAGAAGAAGGAACAGACCGTATACATACACGTTTTTCGTATTATCATCATCATTCTCATCATCATCATCTGTTCATCTTCAATTCAACTTGATTGATTTCTTTTTCTGTTTTGTAATTCATGTGTTCTCTTTTTATCTATAAGAATAGGTTTTGATCTTGAGGATTTGAGTAGCAAACTGTTGAAGTTCTTGTGGTGTGAGCCATGAAACCAGGAACAGCCTGTTTGAATATGTAGATGGAATGTGATTTTAAAGATCACTTTGATAAAACTTCTTGCTATTTTTGGAAAAAGGTAATATGACCTTCTATCATAAGGAATCTTGTGAATCTTCAACTTTGTACCACACAACTAAGATTTAAGTTGTTTCACAGACTTCATCATTCAATCTCAACCAGCTTAACAAATTTGAATCAATCTAGTAAGTTTATCTTAATTCAAGTGAGGGTCTTGAGTTGTATGTCACACAATAGCCAAATAAGTAAGTTGGGGTCAAATCCAACCCAATTCACAAATTTCTTCAAACCCAACAAGCACAACAGACTTAGGATCCCTTGCTACAGTCAAGCTCAGACATATTTATGCTACCTGATAGGCACATTATATTCTCTCCGTAAATTCATCAGACTGTAGTTGATCATAATCTGGGTGAAGAGTGAGACTAAAAAGTTTTTTTTTATTCTTTTGGTCAAAGTTTCAATTTTGGAAAATCTTTTTTCATCTTCCATAAGAAAATCAAGAGAGTCAGATCACTTGATCTTTGTAGTGCTTTAGTTATCATTCTGGAATTGGGATTTGATTTTGCTAAACTTAAACTTAAATAAAAACAATGATCATTACCAACAAAAAAACAAAACAAAACAAACTTGATTTAATGCAAACAAAAACAAAAACATCACAAAAACCCTTTTTTAGAAAAGACCAAAACAAAACTAATCTGACAACCCATCAGTAATCAAGTCATATGAACCAAGCCACTCTAAACCCCCAGAATATCAACAACAAAAAAGCTCACTTACAAGTTCATTCCTTATTTGTTATGATGACCTAAAAGACGTTTCAAAAAAGCTTCATTATTAGGTTCTCTACCTAAGAAAGCTTTTAAACTATCCATCTCATCTCTCGATCCACCTGGTTCTAAAATCTCTTTTCGATATTGATGTCCACTTTTAGGTGACATTGGATCAGCTTCAAAGATTTCAGCAAACATATCAGCTGAGAAGGATTGAGAGTAAAGGTAACCTAAGAAAAGATGTGATGAGCATCATTGGTTGATCAGTAGAAGTAACCAATATCTTGCTCAGAGTTTAGTTAACTTTAGTATTACCGTAGTAACCAGCCTGGATAGGAATTAGAAGACGGTTGGCTTTAGATCTACGGAACCAAGGCTATAGGTTGATGATAGACACTCACGTCGTAACCGCTATAGGGACGAAAAATCAAATACCATTGATTGATGTAAGATTTGGATCCGAGAGTCAGCCTGATGGTATAAGAACCTCATGAAAGCTGATTGACAAACCCTGCAATATGTCCAAAGGTCGACTGTCCTGGAGTATACTCTCCCTCGTCATCGACCAATGAAATCTCCTTTCTCATCTCGCACCAAGTCTTAGTAAGATCTTCATCAGCCTCTGGAGCAGTATGTACGTGCATATCAAGCCTGTTCACATGATCCCATCGTCAGACCCACAAGTGCGCAGAAAGATTGAAGATCAGTAAAAGAAAAAACTGACATGCCAAAGAACAATTGACGTAGATTGGTCAATCCAGAGTTAAGATCACGACTAGCGATGATCTTTTTGATAAGTTCTTTTGGAAGTTTCTCATCGGGTCGTTTATAGTGTCGTGACATTCTAGATAACTGAGATTCAGTCCAACACCAATTTTCTAACATCTGGGATGGAGCCTCAACAAAATCTCTTGCAACAGCTGTGCCGTGGAACCTTGCATCTGTAGATAAACTTTACATTTTAGCTTTCTACAATGTTAAGAGTGAGAATAGTGGAGTTCTCACATTTAGTCTTGCTACACAATTGATGGAATGCATGTCCCTAAAAAGTTCAAATAAGCTTCCATCAATTTTCTTCAGATCCGATCATCACAATTCCAGACTAACCATTTCATGAAAGAATGTTACAACATCGTCGTGTGATAACAACGCTGGCTTTTGAGGAGTCTCCTTGGCCAGGTTTGCAACCATTGCAGCCACTGGATAGTTTCGAGTGCCATCGGCCTTTAAATATCCTGGGATCAAACCCCAGACAGCAGCATGTCCATATTTGTTTTCTCTAGGTTCAATATCGAGATGCATATCTATGAAGATGAAGTGTTAGTGATATGAGCAAGAACATTCGATTCATTGGGAGATGAACCTACATCCTAAAAAGCCATTGCCTTGATTTGCACTTCCATCTTCAATCGCTGTTGCGTCCCAAACTGCCCATTGAGATGCATTAGGATACCAGGTTTTAGCATCCTTGACTTGAAAGAATTTGACTGATAGTAATGATTGATAAGTTTCAAGGATCACATTGACAACTACAGATACAGGGAAATATTCTTTGACAAGATCTTCTTTCAAATCGAGAGTCTTTTCAGCATAAAGTCGATCATAATACCTAAAGTCCTGAATGCGATGAAAGTGGATAACGTAATCAGATCATGGAAAAGAATTAGGAGATTAAGAAAAATGGACAAACCCAAATGTATAATTTGTTTGGATCAGTTTTCAATTTAAGCTCTTCAACTTCTTTGCGTTTCAACTCTAATAAAGTATCACGCTCTTTGAGAGCAATTGGCGTAATCTTGTGACGAAGGTCTTTGAGAAATTCATTAACTGCATTAACATCATAAGCCATCTTAGGCTCCAGGATGTAAGAGGCCCAATTATCCTTTTTAAGAATATGAGCAGCCTCTCGTCGAAGAGAAAGAATCTTATTCATGATAGGCACATTCATCGCTGTTCGATTCTCGTAACCTTCGAAAGCTCTTTTGCGAGTGAGAGGATTCTTGGCAAACTAAGAAAGTAACCCAATTTGTTTGTGTCAGAAGAGGTCTCGTCATCGCTTACAATGTATCAATTCATGAGCTGACTTTGATCACAGGTACGTAATCCGGCGTTTTGAAGGTCATGGCTAATTTTCCATCATCTGATTTGGTGAAGCCTGAAAGTATATCATCGGGAACGCCTTCAAGCTCCTTTGAATCCAAGTAGCGAGTTTAGGATCGGTCAGATCCGGTCCAACGTGATTTTTGAGCTTGATGATGATAGTGAAGGAAGACTAACTTCAGGTGTGAACCAAATCTTGCCGGTTTCTTCATTCTGGTTCTTACTGAAATCTATAGCGAGATTACTGATTTCTTTCCTAAGTTCACCAAACTGTAATCGATCTTTTTCTTCTAAATCAAGACCGAATCGTGTACGCTCAAGGATCAGTCGATCTAATAAACGTTTACTTTCAGGATCTAAAGATGATAGGTCTGTAGCTTTTTGAGCAGCAAGTAAAGCTTTATAGACATCCATTCTAGATGATACTTCAATACCGTATTCCGTGAGTAATTTATCAGCTTCAACTGCAGCATTTCGGACGCTTTCGTCCGGAGAAACGTATTGATAAAAGGTCTGCATAGATTCCAGATGATCAGATCGTTTTTAAACAGAGAATGAATTGGGAGGGAGAGAAAGCTGACCAGCATCTCTCCATTGGCCACTGCAGCATCATCATCTGCTAATGGACGTGCGACTGAGTCAAAAGTACAATCTCCAGGTGATAGACTTCCAATTCGGTTCATGACCTTTCGAGACTTTTCGATTGTATCCTTTACGATCGACTCAATCTCCGTAGCGGTGTGATTCCATACGGGAGCCGGTTGAGGTGGTTTAGGGATATTCATCGTCTTGGTTGGTTTTGCGAATGAGAAAGTAAATTGAGATTGATGATTTGAATAAAGTCGACTTTGAGGTAGTACTGGACAGACTAGTTGAACCTGAGGTGAATGAGAGAGAAGCCTATAAGGAGAGACGATTAAAGATTGACGACCGATTGCGATCGAGAGTGACCTTAATGCAAAATTCATTAAAGTATAACCCATTCTCTTCAAATCTTCAAATCGATCGATCAACTCTGCTGATTACAACTCACTTTCTTCTCCTCAACTGTTTCATCTCGACCATAGCATGTATGTGTGTACCAGGATGGATTAGGATGGACTCCTAGTCTTATCACAAAAGATCGAAACCCTGCCTGCTTGGCTTCTCCTTGCACACACCCAACTCCCACCTCTCTTACCCTCAACATGATGATTCGTAAAATTGATCCGCCTGCATGGCAGCTCAGTCTCAGACAGCGTGGATGCTCGACAAATTGCTGGTGATCACCGGCTTTTGAAGTCACAACCAACATGGGATTATCACTGTCTCTAGCTGTGAGCTCACTTTCACTTATGGGAGTTGTGTGGTGGAATGTTTGTTAGCTCAACAGAGCCCTCGCAGAGAGGCTTCTAACGTGGAATGTATAGGCGCCTCGAACCTGATGCCTCAGCTTCAGGTCTTTCATCAGCTCGTCTTCCGATGCGAGGCATCGCCAACACAGATATTCTTCTTGGCCAGATGACAGGATACATAAGTTTTAGTCGTGTATTTTCAATGAGTTCGGAGTTGTTTGGACATCCAGCAGGAACCAAAAAAGGGGTTTTGGAGGCTTAACTGGAGAAAACCAAATGACAATAGCAGACGGAGAAATTCGAAATTCTGAATAGAGACCCCACATAGATCACAGATTTCAAGGGTGAACAAGTTTCTCTGACTCATTTTTGTTGATGTGTTTGAAGTGGTTTGGGTATTGAAACAGGGTGAAAAGGTCATTTCAAAGAATCATTAATGTGGCAAAACCGTATTAGATATTTACACATGGTGAAAACTGAGATATGATTTTAGGATGAATGATTACGACAATCGATGTTAAAGTGAAGTGGGATTGAGGGAAAGAAGAATTTTCGATCTGACACCATAAAACAATTTGATAATCTTCAAGAATGATAAAGAACTATCACCACGAAGTCTGAGATGAGGATTACTATGGAGCCTGAGGTGTTCAGCAATCGCACCTCTAGGCTCTTGTTGCGAAAAATTCCTAGACCATCGGTTCTGATTCCCGTGTGTCAATGCACGCATGCAACCAACTCCCATTACTCTGAGTCTCATCTTTGGGTGAAGCAGCAGCTACTCGAGAAAGCAGCAGAGGAATCAGATTTACTCGTAATCATCATCTAGGGTCATATCAATCCTTCACCACTACAACCATCAGAGTAGAGTCTGAGCTTCAACTCATATCATCCATATCATCCATATCATTGGTCATTTAATCTGTGAATCGGTAAACTTCCATCGCTGCCTAGTCGTCTTATTGGTCTCGCCCTTGACAACTCAATGGGAATGAACACATCATGACGTGCTCGCAGTTGACAGCCCCCTCTATAAGATCCGCTTAGGGTCTTTGGGCGAAAAATCGGACCTATTAGACTTGCTTGAAGGAGCTACGACAAAGTCACTTCAGTCTTTCTTTCTGCTAGTGGTGCGGGTATGATTCCATCGGGTTGGTTATCTAACTCACTCAGGGTCAGAGGGACACGTATGTCATATCGCCTTGCTGGAAGTCAAACTATGTGGGGTAAGTTGCTCTCATCTATGGGCAAGCAGCACTATAAGAAAGATCTATGCTTATCACAATTGTTCAGACCAGCATTGCAAACCATTGCTTCCATTCACTCGAGTCTTTAAACAACACACAGTTTACTTCCAGATCTACAAGCTAGATTTCCTACCAATTCACTACTTTTGCTCAACGCAACTACTACTTCACACCTTTGAACCCTGAGAGTTTGTTCGCTGCGCGGCATCAATCCTTCAACTATCCGCAATGAGATCATTTCAATCCCTCATTTTCCTTCTTGCCAGCTTGATCCTAGTTTTTAGCTCAAGAAGTGAAACTCATCAAGGTGTCAAGCGCAGTACTGTACCTTTCGGCAACGTTGCAAAGTACGTGATCAATTTCACATCATCATCCCTATTTTAATACGCGACTTTTGCCTCTGAGCTCACCGAGTACATTGGGTCGGTTTCTCTCTACAGCAGCCATCCACAACACCAAGCTCGTCACAATTGGCCACGTAGAGTTGACGGTTCAAGGCAGTGAGTTCACTGCTTGAGACTTTCTGCAAATCCCACAAGAGTGATTTTCTTTTGCTTATACAATCGTGTCTTATTTCACCTTCTCAATAATAGTCTTAGCGCTCAATCTTCCATCCAAATCCGATCGTAAGTCTAGACTGTACTTCTATAAATCATTTCTCATCCATCAAAGGACGGTATCATTTAGATCTTCAACTGATAACTTAATCTCCATCTAACCTCAATAATCCACTCATGATAGTACATCTTCACTTCATACTCGAGACTTATTATTGCTCATTGGTGGAAGTAAAAGTGGATTTGGAGATGGTAAATTTGATTTAAACAAACTGGTATGTACCAGAACCGTCCACAGAACTTCTCTAGCCCCCAAAACAAATCATCCCGTCACCAAATCTTTTCCTTACAAAATTTTTTTTTTTTAGTTTGATGGAATAACAGATACGTTTGGAAAGATTTTCAGTTCTTTAGCTTCTGCTACGAAAGACGTCACATCGAAAGCTACGACCGTTGCAGGAAATGCGTCTTCCACTACCCCTCCAGCCTCAAGCTCCAATGCCACAGCTCCTCCGACTAATGTCACGGCTACTCCGGCCGCAACTGCAAATGCCACCTCCAGCACAGCAGATGCTAGTAGTAGTGCGGCAAATGCCACTGCCTCCACCGACAGCAAAGCGCCTGACGCTGCAAATGCCACCTCCAGCACAGGGGATGCCAGTGCGGCAAATGCCACTTCCTCCGCCGATAGTAAAGCGCCCGACGCTGCGAATGCCACCTCCAGCACAGGAGATGCTAGTGCGGCAAATGCGACTTCCTCCACCGATAGTAAAGCGCCCGACGCTGCAAATGCGACTTCCTCCACCGACAGCAAAGCGCCCGACGCTGCGAATGCCACGTCCAGCACAGCAGATGCCAGTGCGGCAAACGCCACTTCCTCCGCCGACAGTAAAGCGTCTGACGCTTCAAATGCCACCACAGTATCTTCGGGAGCTAGCAGCTGAATGGATCCACACTTGTAGCAGCCTAATGATCTATTTCACAAGGCCGCCGCCTACACGATGAATGTTTTTCTCTTTTTTTCTTTACATAATAATCAAACCTTTGTTGGTTTTCCAAATTTACTTTTTGAGATTTCTGAAATTGATCATGATCTTCTTCAAAAATTCTTTTTTCTTTCATTTCATTTGAATTGATTTTAATTTTTTTTTTCTTACAACTTTGAAAAGTTTTTACACATTTCATTCAAGTTTTCTTTCTTCTGTTTTCATTCTTTTTTTCTTTTTGATGAACAAACACAAAATGTACAATAGTTTCTTTGAAAATCATTTCATTAAAAATTTAAATTCTTGAAGGAAATCATCATCTTTTATAAACATATTAAATTCCGTTTAACTTGTTAAAGACACAAATGAGAGAAGATGGATTTGTAAGTTTTATTCTTAAAGTTTCAAAAAGTGTTTTTGGGACTATGATACTCATTTCAGTGAGGTCACAATGTTGTAAAATCATTCCTGGGTACTTTGGAAAATTTGACAAACTTTTAGCATTCTGTAATAGTATTCAACCTTTGATCTCAATACTAAAGGGAATACCATACTGCTCTCTTCAAAAAGTATATGGTTTTGAAAGTATGACTGAGATAAGGAAGGCTGTTTCCATGAAATTCTATGACTCTCACTGATGATACTTTCAGATTTCAAGCTGTCCAAAGTGTTTTGCAAAAGTGTAATACCATTCAATTCTATGTTTGACACTGAGAAAAATTAATCAAGTTTTTTACTATACCTTGAAGAAGATTAAATTTCCAAATTTACCTCTGGAAACCCACAAAATATAGTCCTTGCTGTATCATATTCAATCAAAAACTGAAATTTGAACTCATTTTCTTTTTGCTCAATATCCAACATGTAATCATTGTGTTTGTATGGGAGTGTCACTTTGGTGTGAACCCTCGACTAGATATCTAACAGATATCAAACACTTCTTGGAAAATATTGATTGAGGACAAGAAATTCACCCCAACCCATGAGTGCAACTGCCCAAATGAGGTGGGGCTTGGTTCCAACAACTCATGTAAAACACTTGGGGTGTCAGAAAAAGAGTCTGGTGTGCTCACACCATTGAAATTTGAGATACCCTCAGTCATACATGGTGAATAGAATGGCACAAATTTAAATCATGAGATAAAGCTGTATAACTTGAAAAAGCCTATGTATATACTTAGATCGATTTTTTGAAGTATGTTTATAATTTGATGATAATCAAAAATCATCAAGTCTGTTTCTCATTCAATAGAGAAGATAATGCTCAAATTGATTCAGGTGGTAATTTTATATGATCATCTTTCTTTACAAGTTTCTGAAGTCTCAATATCAAACAAATCCAATTAAGAATAAAGAGATTCATACCCTCATTCTATAAAGTCAAATGTCAACATTAAATAGGTGGGATCCCAGAAGAATTGTCTCACAAAGATAAAACTTTTCCCTCTTGTGATACAGTGAAAAAGTTTTGAAACTCTGTACATGGGTCAGGTAAGCTATACTTGATCGAGAGTCTTTCTGTGATTTGAATAGAAAGTCTTGTTACAAAGGATATCATAGAAATAAATGTACAGATCAGTGAATGGAATATTACAGTCAGTCAAATCATGCTAAGATAAGTTAATATGATCCTCTAGACCATCTAGTGCCTAAGTGTTCTGTTGTTTTAACTAGGTGCATTGAAACCCTGATTCTACATCTGACCCAATCTTTAGTGCTGAAAGACAGATGATATGAAATAGTGAGATATACAAAAGACTTGAAAATGAAGATAATGTCTGATTCTTTAGTCACTTTCTAACCAATTAATCAGTTCTTTAAAAGCAGGACCATCCTCTACCATAATTTGTCCATGAGCATCGTCCCAAACAACTGTCAATCCACCTTTAGTATCATTTACGTATTGATTCTCAGCCATTCCACTTTCAGTTAGATATCTTCTAATCCTCATTGGGTTTAAGATCACATCTTTACCTGCTAGAAACACTTTACATTTCTTTGGATCTTGAAAATTGGGTATTTCATCTACCCATAAGATGTTGGCTGCCCAATCAAAGTGTCGATGTAGGTATTTGGCTATTCCTAATTCTGTTGCCACAAAGTATCTCAATAATCTTTCGAATCCTGGTCTTGGCTCAGCGTAAAGGAAGCTAAAATAGATACAAAAAATTGTCAGTGAATTAGCCGACTAGATGTCATTCAATTTGAGAAATTTAACATACTTGTGACAGACGTTTCCCTCCCTTGTGAGATTGAATTGATGATTGAGTTTTGAGAAACATGGGAAAGTTCAAGTCAAGATATCAATATTGGTCTGTCATTTAACATCACATGTGACATGATAGTTGATGTTTGCGTACCAGAGACCTTGAAAAATTGCAAAAAACGTATAGGAAGTCAAGAAAATCCAAAGCACCTCCTCATCAGTCGAGTCTCTTCATCAGTGACGCTTCACTGAAAGCGATCATCAAACTTACAAAAACAAACCGGGTCGATTAAACAAACGCGCTTGATCAGATTAGGCATAGAATTAATTAACCAAGCAGCTATCATTGTTCCATTAGAATGACCAAGTAACTCGAAACCAGTTTGATCAAAATTTTGTTGACGAAGAGCTTCTGTCATATCTAACATCATCTCTGGTTTAGATGGTGATTGTAGATGTCGCGAATCAAAGAAACTAAGGCTAACAAACAAGGAAACAAGAATGTTAAAAGTCTACATAAGATGATCATAGCGAGTCTGGTAGACAAGCGGAAGTAGCCTCGGGAACTCACGAGATTGAAGGTTGTAGTAGGATCATGATAGGCCGTGATCGAGCCCAAGTGGAATTGGAGAGATAGTTAAGAAAACGGGTATATTGAACGAGACCTAGGTACATGCATAATAGGTCAGTATATAATCACATCTATCACATCGAAGTCAAAAACGGATGGTAAGAGCTAACAACTGACCTATACCCAAACCGTGAATGAAGACAAAAGGAAGAGTTCGGGTTTCAACCGGCAACTCGTCCCAGCCTGGTGGTTTTCGAATTAGATATAGTAAACCGTTGGATCGATTAACACATTGAGCTTCGACGAAGCCTCGCGAGATCATCAGCTGTTTAACAGACCAGCTCGTGATATTTGTAAAAGCGTAAAGAGCAAGTGGATGAGCAGTAACTTTGATCGGATCTAAAGTAAGTCTCATGACTTTGTTTCGAAGTTGAGGATTATAACCCAAAGGAAATCTTGATCCAGCTCGGTTTTCGAAGACTTTCAGAGTAGGTTGAAGTGCTTTTAAAATAGTTTGACCTTCTGTGGTGGTATCTAACTCATGCAGATGCATTCCAGAAACCGTCCAAGCTAACCATTCTAACATATTATCATGCCAAATCTCATCCCATTCACAATTACCGAACCAAATCACTTGATGAGCTCTCAAATCTACTGCTCTTGGATCCTCAAATGATAAAGGTTCCTCCAGTAGTACATCCGATTTATAAGGAAGATTTTGATTATCGATAGAATGTACTGAGAATGAGGATGAACTTTGATCAGAGCTTGATGGGCTCGATGATGAAGGGGTCAATGAGGATGGAAATGAGAGATTGAAATCTTGAAATTTTGATAAAGCCCAATCTACAGCTTTTAATGACTCATCGGGCGTAGAGCGATTGAGTCCAGATTTACTAACACGTTCTAAACAAGTGTTTAAGAGATGCGGAGGATGACTGAAAGCTTGAAGTCGACGTTGAGCCAATTCAGATTGATAAAAGTAATAAATGGAAAAGCTAAGTTCAAGTAAAGCATAAGAAAATAAGATTGGATGTGGTTTCAAGTAAAAAGGTATGATTGGTAAAGTATCAAAGAGTTTATTGAAAAGTAAATAATAAATGCAATAGAACCAAGACCAGGGAACGATAAACCACACTGAAGTAGTGAGGAGATGGTAGACCCAATCAGGTAGTCGGAAGACAGATATCATCAGGTTAATATGTAGTTAGTGTTTGCTCAGCCTCAACGGGTCCTGGGATATATGTATATTTATGAAGATAAGAAATTGTGACGATTCAAATCAAAGTGAAGGGTCAGGAAGGGTTAAAATGTTTTGAAAACCATTTGAGTCTGAACAGAAAACAGAGACCAATCTCATGATCCAAAGCCTTTTACAAAAGATTTTTAAGTTCCGAATTGAAGGGGCTGAAATCCAAATCTGTGATCCAAAATTAGTGTCAAAATCAATTGATTAAACATGTCAAGTGGTACTTTCACGGGAGGCAAGAAATCTAAATGTTCATCTCCATTTCACAAGAACAACCAACACCGCCACTTCCTCATCCTTACTGACCTCTCACTCCGTTTACGCATCTTACTCAATCACAGCCGATTCCATAAAGATATTTGTTTCGAACTTGGGTCATGGTGCAAAATTGCTTATGACCAATCTTTATTTCTTGGCTCATTTAGATAATCCAAAACATCTATAATGTAGATCATGACGACTTCAGATGCAGATACAGCTGCCGATCGAGTCCCAATCCCTAATTACCGTCCACATATCGCATCGGAAAGAATGCAAACTGTTGTATCATACTTCTCTGTGATCAAGAGAGAACAGACTTGTATCACATGGCGGCAACTGAGCACTTAGAGCATCCACTATGGGTGCGTTAACGACGCGATTTAGCGTTACCGTAACGCTAAAATCCAGACAGGTCCACTATGGACCTGTTTTAGACATGCGGTCCGTACGACCGCGTCAAGTCTTGCAGTCCGCTTGTTCAAATCTACGAAAGCCTACGACTTGATTTATCGTAAACTTTTGGCGCATCCAAACGGTCAACAGCCATCCAATGATCTATCTCCCATCCAGCTCTGCACTCACCACCTTCACTCAAAACCTTCCCTCTTCCCTCGAACCCTCAGCTTGTTGATAGTAGCTGTTTACTCCGGATTTGCTAAAAAAAGCATCTTTGTTCAAAAGAAGTCATCTCGCGCGATCGATGTCACCAAGATCAAACAAGAGGTGAGAAAGCTCTTTGCTGATTGTCAAAACCTGAAGGCATCAATTTGGTTCTTTCTGGTCACCAAGGTAGTCATCAGCATAGGCTGGGTGAGGTGTGGTAAGATACTTTAATTCGAGTCTCGACTTTGCCATAGCGTGTATAGTGTTCTAAGAACAGATTATCGTAGTTAAATCCTATGTTACATCATCCCATAGTGGATTTCATGCGGTTAACAACTTAGCTACAACACGCATGATTAAATTTTGCAATCAGGACCGCAAAATTTACGATAAAACACCCTCAACATAGTGGATGCTCTTAGTAAGACATACCATATGAAAAATCTGATGGGTACGATGTTGTCACATTTTGTCGGTCCAAAATAATGACATTGACTTGTGGAATGAATCTTGGATTGACGGTGTTGTGTCGTCGTCGAGAGCATGGATTGAGATCAAGTTTTACCTGTCCAATTGAAGAAAGCGTCATCAGATGAGAGACTCTACCATGCAATTGCAATATCCACTGGTTTCAGCATCTACTGGCTGTGTTGTTGATCAACATCACATTCTATTTCTCGGTGAGTCACTATAGAGAAATGAGCGCGTGGAGCAGTACTGGAACAGATCTCAGCATTTGGCAGTGTATGCAATAGTTGGCCAGCGGGCAAATGTCAACCACATAGGGGTTGTTCACGTATCATTGATCATCAAGATCTCTAAAACAGCTTAGGGGACGACAGGGAGACAGTGGACTCGCGTCTATATGGGCTTCTCGAGGTTAGGATCCCCAAAGAAGTAACAGACTCGCGGCAATCATGACGGCTTGCACTGTGAGACCCAGGTTAAGTGAGGGTAGTTTATGGGTTATAAGTGTCTCATTGAATCCCGGACCGTGTCTATGGCTGGATTGACGATAGGAATTTGCTGCACAAAAAATGCGGTACCATTTTTTTGTATTGTATGCAACATACTCATTGTATGATTGGGCAAGAGAGTTTGATAGGATTACAAGCCTCCCAATTTAACTCAAACTATTCCAAACACCATTAAGAGAAAGCAAGGTACTAAAATCAATGGAAATCAAAAGTAGATTCTGTGTCAGTAAACACAAACAGAAATGCATCAACTGAGACCTGATATATATATATGACCATGATATGTACTCATGGACTGAAGTAACTAGAAGATTTAGTTGATAAAATTCTTGAGAGAAATTTACCACGCCTTTTAACAAGAGAAAGAGACAATAAAAATGCGATGTTCTGGCTTGCAGAAGCAGAAAAAGACAAATTGGATGATTGTGATTTGTGATGGATTTCACAAACAAGGTTGATCTGGTTCATTTCTCCAACAGTAACATCTTTCCTAGAAGCTGATAGTAACATTTGAAGGCTTCAAACTCGACAACAGCCTTCGCAGCTGTCTTTGGCCAATAAACACCATTCTTGTGGTTACGTCCTTTAAAAGAGGGAGAACTTTTTAAGGTCCGCTGATAATACTTGATCCATGCCACATCAGATAATGACAAGCCTATGAAAAATGCGGCAAATGCTTCGTCATAAAATATGAGTTCATTTTTATGTGCGCTATCAACTGTATGTTCTTCACCTGCAATTTCACGTAAAGTTCGAGCTTCTTTACCTTTCAGAGCTGAGAGTAATAACTTGATGCGTTTGATTACATGGTCCCAAAGGTGAGAATCGCTTATTAAAAGGTTCTGAGTTTGAGACCCTACCCAATGACGGTTTCGAGAATATAAATCAGCCTCAGATAAACAATATGATTTGGTGATTTCTGGTCTTGCGCAAGGTGCATCTGCCAAGGCACTTAGTACCTGTGTGTATTTTGTTTGTATAGCATCTGCACTAAGCTCTTTCCAAGACACGATTGGTGTTGATAGTTCCAAAGAAACCTCAAGCAGTCGAATAGAGTCGATTTTGAGGCCTTGCTTCAACACATTTTGTAGAAATTCCTCTCCAAAGAACCCCTCAGAACATGAATTCCTCAACTCGACTTGTCGTATGTCGACCATGAAGAAACGCTGGTAGAAAGAAACGTCAAGGCAGAGCTCTTTCAGTCTCTCATATTCAGAATGATCCATAGAATCTACAACCTCCAATAAAGTGTCGATCTCGTCCTCAGTTTCGTTAACAAAGACTTCAAATGGGTTTCTGCATTTCAAAAGATTGGCCAAGTTCCTTAATTTCACACTTAAGGAGTGCTCCTGTTCATCCAAAATTTTGCTTTCCCTTCTCTTGAAATATTGCACAAAGAATGCACCTCTGCGCCTCATCAATTCCTCATCACTGACACCATCCAAGTGTTTCAATATACCATAAATTTCAAAGGTCCAGTAATCTTTGTTATATAGACTGGGAACCCTCTTCTCACAATCATAGAGTATATCAAAGCTCTGGGATTTCAATTCAAGTTTCAGGAGAGGTGTATGATTATTTATGCTGAGAAAGTCTTCTAATATAATTCTTATGGTAGGTTGATCTATTGTACCCCAAGAAGGTTTTGCATCTTCCAAATCATTGATTGGAACAAAATAATTTTGAAGCTCATCTTGAACATATTTAATAAAACTCTCATGTTCTGTGTCTTTTTCTTCAGCAGGATTTCCTGATCTTGAGTCTAATGTCTCAATATCCCAGTCATCATCATCAACAGGAACAGCTTTTCCTTTTGGTTTGCCTTTTCCTTTTGATTTCTTCTTGTTTTTTGAATGTCTTGCAACAGTTTTTAGTCCTTGGATCATCTCAATGGGTGTCTGAGGGGTCTCTGAAAATTTGGGATGAATACCAGGCCCTCCAACCTCAATGGAACTTGGAGAAAATTCTACATTTGATACCTTAGTGTGCTTGATGGTCTTTTTAGGAGTGATCCATTCATTCCCTGAAGATAACAGCTTTCCTTTGTTGGTTTTCTCTTGAAAATCTGAACCTATGGTCTGATCTGTTTCAGCTTGCTGATTCACATCTTTTGGTCTAGAAATTCCAATATTTCCCAAATCTGGTAGCTTTTTTTCTGAGGGAATCTTGGAATTCTTACTCTGCGCACCTGCATCCCTGGATATATAGGTAAAAGAGGACAAACTTGAGCATAAGTAGGATGATCAAAATGGATTCATTTTGTGCAATGTATGAAACTTACAAAGATGATCTTGCTGACCTTCCAAAGTTTTTGAAATCAAGATAAAGTGTGTCCTTTTCCTTTTCTTTCACAACATTGGTCTTGTCATAAAAGAGGTGACTGACATGATCTTTACTTGGCCATTCTTGGCTCAAAGGGTTCCCTGCATGAGAGTACTTCATTGGCATTTGTAGACCACCATCCAAACCCTTTGCATTTTTGTTTGAATTCACCACACTCATTGGCCAAATTGATTTACTTGAAAAACCTGAGTCAGACCCCTTCATTTTTTGAACGTTTTTACCCTTGTGATTCTGAGGCTGCTGAAGGGTTGCCTGTTGCCTAACAAAACATAGCAAAAGAGGTATGGTCTTCTTGACTGTCTCCATTGGATCTAAACAAGAAAAGTCACTTACAATACTTTCTTCCATGATTTTTGCTCTTCTGAAGTATCAGCATCAGTCTTTGAGTTTTTCCCACTTCTTTTCACTGATTCAGCATCTTTTTTACTGAAGACACATTTTTCAGATCAGTTCTTATGATTAATGGAAAAATTGTGATTTGTTTTTGGAAAACATACCTTGTATCTTTGTGGTCAGTCTGTCCAGAGATATCTGTGCTTTTTGCTCCTTCATTTATTGCTGTTGATTCATCCTTTTGTGCCTGAGTTGGTAGCCCAGGATTTATAGGCAAAGGTGGGAAAGAAGACCTGTGTTCAAATTTTGTAGATATATGTGACAATCAATGAGTTACAAATGTTTCTTCTTGTGCAAGACTGCCACTCACTCATCATAATCTTCCAATATGCTGGATTCAAATGTTGGATTGTCCAGATTTTTTCCTCCAGAATGTATGTAGTCTGAACCACTGGATCCTACATCCCCGCTGTGATGCCTTCACCAAAAAAATCAACCCACTCATTTAACAAATTACTAACATAACAAGGACCTGAGCATATCCCAATGTCAAAAAGAAACTCACATTGGTGTTTTGTTGTCTTTGTTCCCTATCTTGGGGGAGCTTCCAAAAGTGGATTTATTGATCTGTTTATTCTCAGTAGTGCTGTCTTTTAATTCACTTGACCTCATATTTTTGTCATGGTGCCTGCCCAAAAAAGAACCCATTCCTTTCATTTGAGCTTCTTATCACTTCCACAAGAATTATCCAAGTGGATCCACAGAAAAAGGAAACCTACATGTCCAGTTCATTGGGTTCATCATTATTCTTAGCTATACTATTTGTTTGCATTCCCAAGGTTTTGGCATTATGTTGTTCAAGAACTTGATTCAGAATTAGAGGGTTCATTTCCACAAGTTGTGCATTGCTGGGAATTGAAGTGCTAGGGCACTCCACTGCAATAATCTGAGGTATCCCATGACATCCTGGAAGCACCCAGGATGATTGTAGGTTCTGGCTATCTTTATGGACAAGGAGGAAAGCAGATAGTCATTTTATATATATGTATGGAAACAGGTATTTTTATTTCATAACATACCACTTTGATGATTAAAACCAGACAATTTTCCTGGGCCTGGGGATATATAGCTGAAGGATGACTTCCTAACTGGTTTAAACTCTGGTGCATAAGCTGATATGATGTGTCCACCTGAAATTGAATCTCCTTTCTTGATATCACAGACAGCTTCCTCCAACGGCTTCTCCAAAGACTTTGTATTCTCTTTTTCTGATTCTGAGCTAACAGGACTGTTGGATTTGATGATGGTTTCCAAATCTTTCTGTGATATATTTTCTTCATACTTTTCAGACTTTGTGAGTGTGGTCAGCCCTTTATCAATATCAGGGTTTATGATGCTTGTGCCAAAGGGAATGAGGCTAAAGATGTAGACCAAAAGACATAAAGATTTCATCTTGAAGACCTCCATTGTGTATAATTCTCAAAAGTTAGATTGAAGTGGATGCTCCAAAGATTCTCTCTCGATGTTGAGTGCCTAAATCATTGAGTTTTTTAAAAAGATGTGATACAAGTCTGTAGATTGTACAGCCACAAAAGAATATGCAGGTGTTACCATAGAATCACAGATTTTTGAAAATCATTCCAGTACAATATTTTTTGGAGATGGCTTTGTACAACTCCCCAGATTGGTTTCCATTTGTGGAGAACAGTCACTTCAAGCTACATTACATCTCCTCAAAATCAGTACATTTTTACTCTAAACATACAAGTATTTTACCAGTCTTGTGTGATATAAAGTATCACTCAACCTTATACTTCTTAAACTTGGGTGTTGAATTGATCTATTGAGCATCCAACATAGCATCCTACAATGTGGTCTTGCAAAGTCATGGATTGGGAAAATTCCTCATATCTGTAAAATGTATATGATTTTGTGACTGCCATAATTGGCTGCACCCAGATGGTATGTATAAGACATAGTTTTTTGCCTTCCTTGGAGTTGAGACTGCTGAACTTTAGGTACCCTATATTAGGATGGATGGTCCCACTTAGGCTAGAATGTTCTATACATGCATATGCCCCCCAAAACAGCTCCAAACACCTAGCTTCCAAGTACTCTATCCAATCATTGTAATTCAATGACAATAGTTGAGCCACTGTTGGGGCCGTGTGGTGGTGAATCTGCAAGAAGAAATGAGGCAATCTTGCTTCTAAATAGTGAAGACCCAAGCAACTGCGTTGAAATCCTTTAAGCCAAATAAAACACAGTAGGTGTAAATTCAAAGATTGATGGTCAGATTTTCACATGAGAAATACAACCCTGATCTAAATTTCATTTACCTCCAAGCCCTCAGGCTTGTAAATTCCAGCTTTCAAAAAATCCATGCACATGTGTGCTTTTCAGGGGGTAATTCTGAGAGTGTGGTGAAAATTTGAAAAATTCAAGCAGCATTTTCATTTGGACACAGTCAGATTTTAGGTTTTTTTTTCAATGGAACCCCCTAGTCTACTGCAAGAGCTGAACTGGATACAAATATATTTTTATAATCCTCGGGTAAGAACAGTCCTGATTCACACCTTACTTTTCAAAGCTCATTTTGCCAATATACTTCATAAGCAATTCAACCAAGACCAAGCCTTGTTCATGAACTAAACCAATTAGGGTGTTGTTTGCATAGATAGAAACAAAAAAACCTCAACAATCAATATTCTTTCTCAAATTAAAAACATAAAATCCGATACAACAACAAGCGCTGCAAAAACAATCAACAACATAATTACGAAACAAATTACACCATAAGAACCCGTATCATGCATGCTCAAATCCATCATAATGCTTGTCCATCTAAAAAAAAGTTTCACCACGCCACATATATTATTCAACAATCTCTGAAGTATTTAATTAATCTGGTAAAGAAGACGTGCAAAGAAAATACGCTTTGAAGACCTTCTTCAGTATTAAGAGTTGAGGACGTTCAAATGATCACGCGAATTTCCCGTATGCATAGGCCAATCCAACGCAGAGTGACAGGAACAAAACCTGAGACTTGGTGAAGTACAAGTCTTGAGTGATGATCAACATCACATTTGAGTCCACCAACACTTGTCCGTCCATCACTGTGGTCGTTGATAAATCTGAACCAGCCCCGATGATGGATGTGGGAGAGAACCTACGATCGGAAGCGCTGAGAGTGGCTGTCGATGACCCTTGCATCGGTTCCCTATGATCTGTCTTGATGCCCGCGAGAACTAGGTTAGGACCGCTTGCATCAGAAGGCTGCGGAAGCCACAAGTACCAAATCAAGTTTTGTCAATATAAAATCCGCGAGTGCACAAATCAAGACCTCCTCCATAGTAGACAATCTTACCGGTCTGGTTTCTTTTGTATTGGCACCAGTACTGCTAGAATCTGAGTTTATGACCCCATTTCGGAGACTCGTGGGTGATTTGATTGCAGATGAATGTTTGCGTTTCGAACTGCGGACAGGCGGGTAAACTTCCTCCTTCAACAGCTCCCCATTCACAATCACATTACCAGGGTATGCGTTCTTGTGATCACTGATTTGCTTTGCACGTAGACGCAAATCACTTGCCTCTGCTGGGAGGCTGGATGGGTTCCAGTTGAATTGAAGTGTGTTGTCCATCTTTTTCACCCGCAACACTTTTGCGGCTTCCGGGGGATCCAGAGTTAATTCAATCCCACACTCATACATCTGGCTACTCCACTGCAGTAAGAAAAAAACATATGAGCACGCAGGACTTAGAAGGCGAATCAATGAGACAGCAGCACATGTGATACTGACCTGGAACCAACATATCTGCGACTCAGTACTGCCAAGCGCAAGGGCCGTTGTGATTGCATCCTCAATAACAGCGCCACTAGTCTTGTGTCTTCGAAATCTCCATTCTACTTCGCCTTTCCGAGCCGCGTCCACTTCTATCAACTCGGAATCGCTACGAACACAATCGCCCAGGTATAGAATCTCCCCTTCCGTCCAACGGATCCATCCAGGGAAAAAACCATTGTCCAGGATGAACTGGTGAACATCATGTGGTCTGTTTGCAATATTACTGATGATGATTCGTTCAATAAAAGGCGATAACACCTTTTGATCCGAAAGAGCTTGTTGCGTTGAATTGAGTTCTAAGGCGCAAAGGTGAGTCAATTTGATCTCGTCCTGAAGTCTACCCGTTTCAATCAGCCATCCAGATAATTTCAGGTGACTGAGAGTCTTGGCGGAAATGGCATCCTTCAAGATGGGATCTAGATCATTTTGAGCCGAATGGTGTAGCTCGATTTTACTCGAATTGTCTAAGGGGTCCATATTCGATTGCGTCGAACTTTGAATTACTGTGATCCTGGCAGAAACGCTGTTTTCTTTGTTATCCTTGGATTGCCTCACGACCATTTGATCAAAACAAAACAGTGAGCGTTCGGGTAGGTGGGGATGGATGCCGCGCATGGCACCGATATGCGTGCTCTGGTCGAACCCGTTTTCAGTCTTAATCAAACTGGGATGAGGGCTGGTATCCGTTTCGGATAGACCATGAGCGACAAGATTCACATCCCAGAGTTGCTGAGCCACGTTACTCGTGAGCGTAATTAGGACTTGTTCTTTGGTGAGTGGTCGCAGTCGATCATGGTAAGACGACAATATGGTGACCTCGCCACCCACCAATGGCAGCCTAACGCAATCCTTTGAGCTCACTCCTGCAGAGGTAGAATATGGCTTGTACCATATCTTGTGGAGGTTCATACAGTCGTTCGCTACTGTCCAAGACTGCTCATTATTACTGCGATCTATTAGCTGTGTTTCAAATTCGCCAAGAGCCGAATTTAAAGCTTGATAACTGAGTGCTGCTTGGTTTACAGGGACATGGTCGATCATCAGAACGTGATCATCGTCTCGATGGACATGTTGGGCAGGGGTGGAGTTGGGCGGGGAAAGCAAAGTTCTATCAGTGGTTGGAGCAAAATCTGACGGGAGATTGGGACTCTGGAGATTGATGGCAGGTACAGAGTTGGATGTTGATAATGGACGCTGGAGGTGAAATTTATGCGAGCGTCCGAGACTGGCAAATGTTGGTTTCCGGCTTCTGGAAGGGGTCTGATCGGAAGAGGCGTTTAGACTGGAGACAACCGAGGAAGAAGAACTGCGATTTTTCGTTTTACTGTTGGGCTGGTTTAACGCATTTAGCGACAAGAATCCACGATTAAATGTCTTGCGGTTTCCGCCTTGTCGAGGATGGGACTCGCTCTCGTCTATTCCTTCCATCTGAAGTGGAGAGCCGTGCTTTTGAAGGTACGAGTCAATTTTCGTGATACATAACGGTCGTTTGGCTAGGTATCGCTGGCTGATAGCTTCAGGGATGAATGTCTTGACGTCAATTTGCAAATAATACGATATTTTGGTGCCGATCGATGACGTAGAGTCAGTAAGGCCCGCCGAAGATAGGTCTGCGGGCTCAAGTACCCAACCATTGAGCTCGATGTGAGCTCTTACTCGTCCCGGCACTGGAGGAACCCGCGGCGTATCCACCGAAGATGCACAGAAAAAAACTGATCCGTCGTCCGTAACCTCCACCTTCTCGACCAAAGATAGATCTCTCGTCCTGCGATTATAAAAGAAAGACACAGAACTGAATATGTGCGATGTCAGTATACCACATAAACCAAGACAGACTCACCGGGTTCCCAAAGCCGCTTGCATACACATATACGTCAAACTAACTTCATCACTCAGATTTTCAACCAAGTTCCCGTCCTCGTACCTGATGAGCAGGCAAGTCAGCCATTACTTAGGAGGTGCGTGAACACGAAAAGCAGATTATGATTCACCAATCATCCCACAATTTACTCGAGCCTATCACTGAAAAGACAGATGCGGGAGAATATCCCCTGATCAATCCTACACCTTTGAAGACAGGTGCCACCTTTGTGTTGCCGATCATTGCGACATTCTTTTGCGCAAAAACCTACCACCTCGATGCGGAAAACGTAAATCACGACAGATTAGTTGAGTGAAAAGATACTCGAGAAAATGGAGAATGACCTCAACACCACTGCGATGCCTCAAAACAGACTCCCATGTACCACCTTGGGCAAGTGACTTGACTTTCGACACCACCGTATCGATGTGATTGATGAATTGTTGACTGGAGCCATTGAGAGAGTTTGAGATGTTGGGACTCCTGGGCTCCCCAGGATTTGGACTGTCAGCTATGATTTCACCACCAGGTTCAGACAAAGGTTCTCGTTCCTAAAGAAGCGCAGGTCTAAGTTCCCGAAAAGTTGAGGTCTAGAGTTGAATAAGAACACATACCTCATCCGATAACACAAATTCACTATTTTCTTCATATTGAGATTGTTCATACTCGGATCTCGGCTTCATCACAGCAAGGTGCTCGAAGTGAAAGTTGAGAATCGACTGAGTGATGAGGAAGTGAATGAATTGCAGTCGAGGGTGGTGGAATGTGATCAGGACTCAGGTTGACCTTGCCGGAAGGTCGCGGTGTACATGTAACAAGTCTGGTATGTACCTAGAGCTTGAAGGTAAGATTGATCTTAAGCTCAAACTACGTCAGAGCATCCGCACTCGTTTGCGGTTGTTAATTTGGTCACGTGCGGTAACAAACACAACATTAAGTAAAAAGTTACTTAACTCAACCAAATTTCGCACTCGTTTGCATTAGCAGCGCTGTAACTTTTATAACTTTACAGATAGTGCATGTACTCCGCACCGGTCGTGCAGTAAGGTAAAGTTTTAATTTTTTGAGTACACATCACCTGCTTTCATGGCCAGTTTTCATGTGATAGAGGCACTGTTCTCTTCTTTGCACTAAGATACTAATACTCCATCTACACATGAAGACCCGATATCATCCTGTTCATCTACTCGATCGATAGATCTTAATTTAAAATTACAAATTTAACATGAGTTTGTTCAGATCTTAATACATGAATTCCAATTAAAAAACAAAGGCTTTACTACATCGAGAAAGCTTTTAATGAGTCTGAATACACATAATGATCTTGTAAAAGATTTAAAGATTTAAAACTAGGAAATAAAAATCCAAACTTCAATTTTTAATTTGTATCACTTGATCCTAAAAGTCCTCCAATGATTGGTCTTTTAATGTTGATTTTCTTAAATATTGACCTCTACATAGCTATATGAATCTAGACATCTTTCATTTTCATCTGAATGGTTTGGAGTCGAGTTCAAGATGGTTGATTGACTTATTTCAATTGAAGACATCAATCGGTGTCGAACGTTCTCGAGTTGATTCATGCAACTGTAAGGCTTGGAATTCATCGTGTGTGAGTGGTGAAAAGGAGATATTGGTTGTTGACTTTGGTGTTGGAGGTCTGGTTGAGTTTTGTTTTTGGAGTCGAGTTGCCGGTGTGGTGATCAATTTATGGGATCAATTAAAAAATTCACAATTACCAGTTTACCAGTTTATTAGCAGGATTCAGAAGGAAAGAAAATTCGAAATGGAGGTTTTTGATCAATTGAAGCTCTTGTAGGCTTATGTATTGGTCATTAGGTCAACATTACATCATTTTTTATTTCACATTATATATTAAGATCATTATAGTTTACTTACAAATTTATTACAAAAAGAAAGAAAGAAAAACATAAGAAAAATTCGAAATTATAGGTATAAAGGTTGGAAAATGGTTTTTAGGTTAGTAAAAATAAAGTTATGGGTATTATGAGGTTAGAATATGAAAGAACAACATTATATTATACTATGACAATTTTAATCTTCAAGGTTGATAAGTAGAAACAGAAGTTATTAGGGAAAAGGCACTTTTTCGAAGTTGGTAAACAAGAGGTACACGTGTAGTTTGGTTGTGTAATAGTGGTAGTGATGGAATTTAAGGTTGCCAAGAGGATTTTTCGGGATTTTTAAGGTTATAGATGATGATGTCATAT